TTTCGCCGCTTCACATTCGACATTCCCTCCCCCCGCCGTCCCCTCCCCTCCCCTCTAAATAGCGGGCGAGGGTGGTGGAGGATGGCCGTGAAGGGTTAACCCTGAGGGGGGTCGTATCGAGGCCCTCTAGAAGGGGGGGGGGTCGTAAAATTTTCGAAATTGGTCCAACGTGACGGTTGACCCTGATTCGAAGCACTAATTCTACGCCTCTTGAGTTTGCAGTGTTGGCGGCCACTGCCCTTCTGCGCTGGATTTTCCACTCCCTGTTCTAGAAGATCTCCTTTTTGGGCCCCACTTGCTTGTTTCACTCACGCTTATCGGAGATACATTTTTACTTATTTGACATTCCGTTTTTTGCAGCTTTGATTCCCGACAATAAATATGAAATAGGAAATATGAAATACAATAAACTAGTGAAGGTCAGGACATCATTCATTGATGTGGGAACAATATCAGTTTCACCGATAGCTAATGAATAAATTGAAATATACAAACATTTTGTGCGACTTCAATCTGAAGCTCTTCTTTGTCTCATTCTTCCTTCCGATGACAGCCGAATCACCCAAATCGCATGGACCAATGACCGTCCTTCATTACTAAACAAGCCGTTGATTTCGCTCGAGCAAATCTGTTTCGGATGTTCCACTGCACTGCTCCTCTTCCTCATTTCCCTGAAAAAAGCTATTCGTATCCTATCGAATTCTAAAAGGCACAACTTCCCCTAATACTCCAGGGTATAAGCAGTTCTTAAGGAGTTTGCAAAGTATAGATACGGCATTCCCAGGGCTGTTGCCCCTCATCGGATGGTGACTGGCCAAGGTTTGAGAGAGCTCCAGGGGATAGGTATAAATGGGCGCAGATGCCAGCATGTGGTGTAATGTGACGATTAATCCGGTGTTAATTTTTTTTGTTTTCTGCGCTCTTGAAAATTGCCACGGGATGTCGGATAAGCTCGCTCATGCTCGGCGACTGTCTTGCACTTCGAGCATGGAGTTGATGCGTATCGACCGTGCGACCGTGCGATCGCCTGATCGATCCGATCTATTTCACTCTGAAACTGATACTGCAAACGAAATGCAAGGCACTAGCAAAGTATGACTGTGACCAAAGCTGTCACCATGGGAGTTGCTCCCTTGGCCCATCAACATTCAAAGAGAGACAATAACACTGGAGCATCTATATTTGGCTTACACCCTACGAACTGCTTATGCCATCGTTAGAAGCTCGAAGTTCGACTTAACATTTTTACATAACCAACCCCAACCCAATACTGGACATTCTATAAGGTCGTAAGAAAAGTTTTTCCGTTTTGTCAGTTCAAGTTTCAATGCATTAATTGTGATTGAATTTCTGGCAGACTGCTAGTTTTAGCATACTATTAGGAAGCAAGTTTTTTGCTCTATCCAAAGCTACTGTCGGCTTTGCTCTAGAGCTATTGCTCCCACTTTTTTCAAAACCCTGAATACAATATGCTCAAAGAGCGAATATGCACAATTTTCTTTTTCTTACGCGAATCGGGTAGAAAAAGCGGAATAAGTCCAAAATATAAGCTTGCCACGTATTCACGAAAAATGTGCTGTGCAGTGATATTTGGAAAGCTTGTGTAGTGAGGGCGAGAGCCTCGGAGGCGATGAGGTGATCGCTGGATATCGAACGTTGGTAAAAATGAGCTGAAAATTTGACAGAACCGAATGTCGAGACCGGCCTGAATTAGGGTGTAGCTCGCAGACAGAAAACGACTTTTGCGTTGTTCACGGCGCAACCTTCTTCCGCTGCGGGAACCCTGTTCCATCACTGATCAGAAGTGGAATGTAGTGGAACATTTTTTTTGAATTTATCATAACTCTTATTTTTCTAACACTAGGCCACTTATATTATGCCTCTGCTTCTCCCACTTTTGACATGCTATACTTTTTATTGTCTCCTTCTATCATCTA